AAGAGACATTAACTTGTTCCATTCATTTATGCATTCACTAGTTGACTCTTGTATGTGCGCTGACAGGGAATCAAACCTGTAACCTTGGCATGTCGGGATGATGCTCTAACCAACTGAACTACCTGGCAGGACTAAAAAGTGTTTCTTTCTTCATGTCGTTAGATAGTTTTTTATACTTTCACATATTAAGTAAATTTTTTTGGCCCCACCTGCTCACAGACGTTTTCTTACATATTTACAAACAACAAAATATTTCTTATGATTTATTATGCACATGATTTCCTAATTGCATTAAGAAGTATCTCCATCATAGTGTGAGATTAAGGCTGTCAGAAGGAGCCAGCCAAATTATACTTAGCCCTGCAATTTCTTCAACTGGATTTACAGCAACATCAGATTAAGCTTCACCACACCATAGGTACCTGGAAAATTTGTCCTGAGCTTCATTTGCTTGAAGTAACAACCAAATTCAATCTTTTTGGTGTTGTTGTTAATCCTCACCCAAGAATATTTTTCCATTGATTTTTAGAGTGGAAAGGAGGGGGAGAGACAGAGAGAAACATCCATGTGAGAGAGACACATCAATTGGTTGCCTCCCACTCACCCCACAACCAGGGCTGGGGATTGAGCCTACAACTGAGGTACGTGGCCTTGACTGGAATCGAACCTGGGACCTTCAGGCTGCGGGCTGAGGCTTTATCCACTGAGCCAAACAATCCAGGGCCCAAACTGAATCTTTTAACCACACATCAAATAGTCAGTATTGCCTGTACCTGACATTATTGCCATAGTGATCTGGCTTTAAATTAAAAGTCACAAATACTTGGTCATTGGAGTATGTATGATAGTAGGATTTGGGGGCTGTTACATGGGAAGCAGCCTCCCATAAGGAGGTAACAACTATTTGTTCTGCAAGCCAACAGTGTAACTCTGAGGACCGCACACTGGCTCAGCGATCGTGTCTTGAGTGTTGTGTGAAGAGTCCTCTGGGATCCTCTATGACTAGTTTCTCTGTACTTTTTGAAATAGTTGCATCATAAGAAGAAGATATACAAGAAGAAAAAAAAGAAGCCACTTCAGACGAGGAAACAGCGAAATGAACAGTATCGGAAAAATAATATGATACGGGAGTTGAAGTCAACAGAAGATGCCCTGGTAAGAAAGCTCTGCTGCCTGCCTCTACTGTCAGGTAAAGAGTATTCCATTAACGGCAGTACTGGGGGTTAAGGTTTACTCTAAATCAGAAGGGGGTCAGAGGTGAAAGCTTTCTGTCTTGAGTTCAGAGCGCTTTCATGGTCCTCTGCTGTGCTCTGGAGCTGCAAGTTTGGGCGTTGACCAAGTCTGGATTTCCAGAGGGAAGTGGTGGAATGGCTGGCAAAGGAAGGGCCGGAACTAGTCAGGGTTGCTGGGTGCTGAGGGGGCAGGCCTGGCCCCGCTAACACTAACGACACCTGGATAGCTCCTTCCTTGTCTTTCTCCCAGCTGTTGTACCTACATCCTACCCTCTGCTTTCTAAAGTTGAAAATGCTTTCAGAGGTGGGAGTTTCACTGTTGGGTGAATTGAGTCAATTATGAGCAGATTAATTGCAATCCGTCCATTGAAAAACATTCTCTTTGCACTAATCCTTCTAGAAAAGACCAGGATTTACTTCTACGATGCAAAAGCAGCCTTCCTTTTTAAAATATTCTGAGAACGCCAGTTCTTCAACAGTAAAAAATGAAAGACCAAGGATGAATGAGGTAATGTTTTTGCTTGACTTTTTTTTAACTCACTCATGGAAACAATGTATTAAAACTTCTTTGTAAGTTTTTTAAAGTGTACAACATGATGATTTGATATGCATACATTGTGAAATGATTCTCACCATTGAGTTAACTAACACATCCATCACCTCACATGGTCATCTTTTTTTCTTTTGGTGAGAACATGTCCATTTCTACTCTTAGCAAATTTTAATTATACAATGCAGTATTATTAACTATAGTCACCATGTTATACATCAGATCGTCACACCTTATCTGATAACTAAAAGTTTGTACCCTTTTACCATCCTCCCATTTGCCCCACTTCCCAGTGGCTGGCAACCACCATCTACTCTGTTTCTATGAGTTTGAGTTTTTTAGATTCCACATATAAGTGTAATATTTGTCTTTCTCTGTCTGGTTTATTTCACTTAGCATAACGTCCTCCATGATCATCCATGTTGTCATGAATGGCAGAATTTCCTTCTTTATTATGGCTAAATAACATATGTTTGCACATATTTTTTCCCATTCAGTAGATTGCCTTTTAATTTTATTGATTGTCTGTGCTGTGCTTTTTAGTTGATGTAGTCTCACTTGTTTATTTTTTTCTTTTGTTGTCTTTGCTTTTGTTGTCAAAACAAAAAAAAATCATTGCCAAGACCAATGTCAAGGAGCTTACTTCCTATGTTTTCTTTTAGGAGTTTTCCAGAGTTAGATCTTAAATGTAGGTTTTTAATCCATTTTGAGTTGACTCTTGTGTATGGTGTAAGACAGGTACAGTTTCATTCTTCCACATGTGAATATCTAGTTTTGGCAACACCATTGTATATTCTTGGCTCATTTGTTAAAAATTAAATGACCATATATGCATGACTTTATTTCTGGGCTCTATATTCTGGTCCATTCTTAACTCTCGTTCACACAGATTCTGTAATTTTTCCAATTAGTATGTCTCTCCCACAGGGCGAAGAACACAATAGCCCTCTGTGTCACCCTTACCTGTCAGTGACACTGGGAGCAGGGGAACACTAACATTTGGTGGGGAGATGGGCTCTGCTTTAGATTACACACCACTGAAGTCTGACACCAAATTTTGTGATTTGTGACTTTATATCTAGAACATAAGAACAGTCTGTTTTACCATCCAGCCACCCGTTTATTCAACAAATTGTATTGTGTAACCACCATGTGCCAGGCCCTCTCCTGGACGTTGCAAATGTGACATTGAACAAAACACTATCCCTGCCTCAGGGACCTTAGAGTCTGGGCTGGGGATTTGACAAGTAAACAGCAAATGACATAACAGAGTAGGATGCAGGGAATACAGAGGAGAAGCACCTAACCAACTTTTATACTTTGGAGTTTTGTAGCTATAAAGTCCTTGGTTCTTTTTTTTTTTTAATATATTTTTTTATTGATTTCAGAGAGGAAGGAAGAGGGAGAGAGAGATAGAAACATCAATGATGAGAGAGAATCAGTGATTGGCTGCCTCCTGCAAGATCCCCACTGGGGATCGAACCCACAACCTGGGCATGTGCCCTTGACCAGAATCGAACCTGGGACCTTTCCGTTTGCAGGTTGATGCTCTATCCACTGAGCCAAACCAGCTAGGGCAGTCCTTAGTTCCTTTACGTATAAATATAAGTTTTGGTACAATAGTAGCTAATTCTTAGTGGGTAGAATGTAAAATTGGCCCTCCTGTGGCAGAATGCTACCCCGTGAGTAACAGTGAGATAAAGAGGCCCCGCTGTGTTACACTGAGGAACCCTCACAGGTGCAGGCATGTCCATTCAGTAGTGAGGGACATCTGGGGTCTAGTGTAATAGTGACAAGGAAACAGCTCTGAAATCTGTCTTGAGTTCAAATGTCACCCCCACCATGTAATTTTTTGTGAGATACTGAACCATCCTGGGACTCTGTTTCTGCATCTAAAATATCTATATATATAAAAGCCTAAGTGACTGTTACGACCAGATGACCAATCACTATGACATGCATTGACCACCCAGGGGCAGATGCTCAATGCAGGAGGTGCCCCCTGGTGGTCAGTGCACTCCCACAGCCAACCTCCCATGGCTGGCCCCCATCAGCCTGATAGGGACTGAGTGAGATGGGCCCCAATCGGCCCCAATCACCGGCAAGGCCGAGGGACCCCACCTGTGCATGAATTCTGCACCAGGCCTCTAGTTGGGGTAATTATATCAACAACATAAGGTTGGTTGAGAAGATTAGATGTGAATCTGTGTGTAAAGGGCCTGGCATATGGTAGGTATTCAATAAATATTATTGAATTATTTTGAATTCTTTGAATTATTTTCTTTGAATTATTTGTTTGTGTCCTGCCTCTCTTTTTGTGTTAAGAGTATCATAATGAATCAACATGCATGAATGAAAAAACACTTAGAGGATGTATATTCTGCATACTCACACTTATCCAAGTAGAAATTTTAATGAGAATGTGTTCATTCATTCTAGTCACAGTTAAATGGAAGAGACAAAGGCATCTCCCTGGACCTGTCAAAAACAACTAGCTTGATTCTGACTAAGAATAAAGAAAGAAAGCAGGTATTTCACCTAACATACATGATACCTAGATGCTGGCGATTTACTTTATTTGGTTTTGAAATGTATTATGTGATTTGGAGGGATGGTAATCCACAGTCCACACAGTTTCACCATCTCAGATTTGTTCTGCTCAGGTAATTTGCACCCTGGGGCACAGCCCACCAGGTACTGAAGGACACAGACAGCCCTCCCAGAGCTAACAGTTTGCCATGGAGAAGGTACCTTTATTTCAATGAACATTTGTTAGGCAGCTGTTATTTTGTAACTCCAGGCAACGTCTCAGGTAAAACAGTGATGGTGTAATGCAGCAGTTCTCACCTCAAGAGTTATTAGCAGCAAGCAGAGTAGGGTAGCTATGACGTGTGCCCCACGTGCTGTGTTACAGTGATCCTTCAACGCTGAGGTTTGTGAATGGTTTGCTTTCTTAGAAGAATAAGTTAGCGTGAGCTCATATTTATCCCTATCCATCGCTCTTGTTCCTTGGCACTTGCATATTCTTTCCTGAAAGGGAGGCAGAGAGGGACATATGGTAAGTAAGCTATTGTTTCAAATACCACTGGGTGCAGCTCATGTGTCCAGGGAAAGATTAGAAACCACTGGATTGAGTAGGTATACTGGATATAGCACCCACAGTTCTCCTGAGGGGAAGTCCCTTCTCAAATCTGTTGCTTGAGAATTGTCAAGTTGATGTTCTCATTTATTCAGCAGTATCCTTTTGGAGAACCTATTAGGTGCCAGGCCCTTTGAGGACAGTAAGATATGACCCCTGCCTTAAGGCAATGACCCTCTACATGGGGGGGCAAGATAGTCCAACCGCCTGGGATAACAGAAACTGAAGAGCAATGAAAAAGGGTTAGCCCTAGCCATTTTGGCTCAGTGGATAGAGCGTCGCCTGTGGACTAAAGGGTCCCAGGTTTGATTCTGGCCAAGGGCACATGCCCAGTTTGCAGGCTCGATCCCCTCCCCAGTAAGGGACATGCAGGAGGCAGCCAATCAATGATTTTTTCTCATCATTGATGTTTCTATCTATCTCCCTTCATCTCTGAAATAACTGAAAACATATAATTTAAAAAAAAAGAAGAGATGTTTAAATAAAGTCAAAACAAAGAGAGTTTCTGTCCTGACAGACAAATAAGTGATGGACTTGCCCTTTCTCCCCATTCAGCATTTATTACAAGAAGCTGTGGGTGCCTAAAACCATATCCTGCAACTGAATCGTGCTGGTTAAGCTTCAACATGTAACCAGGGATTAAGTGAAACCCAGTGTACTGGATGAATGCCTTCCAAACCTGTACCTTTACTTAATTTTCCTAAAGTTCCTAGTGTAGTATCTCTCTAACAGAAATGTAGGCATGCAACTTCAAGACAGCTTATAAAATGCAGTTCCTGAACTGCTCAGAGCAATTAAAATGTTGCCCATAGAGAACCAAGATGGCGGCATAGGTAAACACCTGTACTTGCTGCCTCCCACAACTACATCAAAATTACAACTAAAAGACAGAACAACTATCATCCAGAACCATGGGAAAGCTGGCTGAGTGGAAGTACTACAACTAGAGAGGTAAAGAAGAAAGCATAGCGAGACTGGTAGGAGGTGTGGAGGCATGGAACAGGCTGGTACCCAGGTGCGCTGTGTTTTTAATCGGGAGGGAGATACAAGCTCCCACTTGCTCTGAACTCCAGTGCTGGGCAAGACTCTGGGGGACCCAGACACATACGGGGAGAAACTGGACTGTTTGGCATCGGGGCAAGAACATGGGGGCAGCTTTCTTTCAGACAGAGATGCTCGCAGTGGTCATTGCTCCTGTGCTGGGACCTCCCAGGTGCAGGGCTGACTGGAAGCCATTGCTGTTTGCTCCACCCTGGAGATTCCCTGAGAACCTGCCCCACCCAATTTACAATCCCACCCAAGCTGTGCACAGCAGCTTTTGCATATGAATGGCCTGTCCTTTCTCAGCCTAAAACCTGTCGAATAAGCTGCAGCTAGGTCAGGGAGCCCCAAAGCTACCAAAAGAAGGCCCAAGGCTGGCACCAGCAGCAGCCTGCCTTGCTGCACAGTGCCTTGCTTGTATCTGGGCACTTCCAAACCCGATACAAAGAGGAGGAATGAGCAGATCTCTCTGTAGCTCCTGCTGGGTGGACCCAGGCAGTGGCTGGCTTTGCATCTCCTTGGAGCCAGTGTACCCAGTGGTCAGAATGAGACCATACCAGAGTACAGTTCCTCACATCCATAAGCGACACACTCAAGGGGCAGACTCAGTGAGCACCAAAGCCCCACTGAAGCAAGTCCTGCCCCATAAGGGTGTCTCCTGTACAGCAGCTCTTCCATTGTAGACACAGCTGGTCCTCACAGCCAATTGGCCTGGAGGTCAATTCCTCCCAGTGATATCAACAGCAATCAAGGCTCACCTACAACAAGACTATGCACACAGTCCACAAAGCGGTGCACAGAGACGGTTCACCTCAAGTGATTGGGGAGGCTGAGCCACTGGGCCCTATAGGACATATACTACACAAGGCCACTCTATCAACTCAAGGAGACTTAACAGCTACCCAATACATAGAAACAAACACAGGGAAGCACCAAAAATGCGGAGACAAAGAAACATGTCATAAAGGAAAGAAATGGAAGAAAGCAAACTACTGGATATAGAGTTCAAACCTCCGAGGAACTTAGTGAGACCTTCAAGGATATTAGTGAGAAAGCAAAAAAAAAAAGAAAGAAAGAAAAGAAAAGAACCAGTCAGAAATTAAGCATACACTGACTGAGATAAAGAATAATATACAGAGATTCAACAGTAGACAGGAGGATCCCAAGAATCAATGAATG